CCATAACATAAAAAGGAGCGTCTATTTATGTGACACAGCTCTCTTTTTAAGCTCGTTCCTGAAGGCAACATGCAAACCTTAGGGCTTAGGCAAACCAATTTGATTCTGTCTGTAGGTGAAACAAACTTGGTCTCAACAAGTGCAGAAGCAGAGGTCCAAACTAGAGAGCGCTGAGCAGTGGCCTAATTTCACTGGCAGAGTCTCAATCATAACATCTTATCAACGAACATGCTGACTCATGGAGTTCTGTTGCAGTCAGCAGCCAAGCAGCAGGGTTACTTATGGCAGGCATTGATTGGTTGATTCGAGAGCGCAAATCTGAAAGGGCACATACCAGGAACACAGCCTGAAGCAAAAACTGGCCTGCTTTACTTCACTCTCACAGCCTTGTAGCTGCAGTTCTGCCCCCTACTTTGTCGTGTCACTGCCCCCCCCCCCCCCGCACCCCTTAAAGTCCTTCACATGCACACCCAGTCCAGCCTGTTTTAAAAACCACCACAGCCTTGTTTCTGTGTTGTGTAACTGTAGCTGGAATGAACAAAAAAAAAAAGGTTTTCCAAAGGTCACCATTCCTCTGTGGTTTACATCCTGTTTTTTTTTTTTTCATCTGCACGGTCACAGTAATTCTACCATTTGTTGAAGAACTTTAGAAGTTCAATTTAAAATGTTATAACAGAGACCCATGACCACAGTTTGAACCATTAATCACATCCAATGCCCAGACTTTCCAGTATCCATTAATAATGCATTTGTATTGGAAAAGCAATGCAGTAAAAAGGTGGGTTTGGGTTATAGAGTGCATGCAATCTATGTTGCTCATTGATTTCATTCTCAATTATTTTCCAAGGCCGAACCCTTTATGCCAGAGGGCTACTGCATTCAAGTACAACTTTTAAAAGGCATTTAGTTCCCTCTCACTTACACAGCAAACACTGCTAATTTGGAGTTTGCTTCCTCATACGTTCATTTAAGAGTCAGAATTAAACTGGCTCTACAATTTGAAGAAAAAGCCATTCCCCGTCTGCAAATCTGCAATGAGCCGGACAACAGACACTGTGAGGACAGAAGAGGGCCTCAGTTCAAGCGAGGCAGGCACACTTTCTAATGGAAATTCAGATACAATCATCCCAGAATGCACTTCTCTCTGCCTAATAATCGGACACTAGAACAAGGCAGCTATTGAGAGGGGAGCGACTGTAATCTGGTTCACCAAACTCCAAAGCTGCCCGCTATAATTAGCTCCTTTCACCATCCAACGCAGACTTACAAGAAAACCTCTCCCGTGTTACAAAAGGGGAGAAACTGAATGCATGATTTCATAAGAGGGGAAACTTCCTATCCTGCATGTGAGGACTCCCCTCACGCCGACAGGTGAGCCATATGTGAAACTGACCAATGAGCAAGGAGGCTAACATTTCATGGGAAGAATAGACAAAAAAAAAGTAATAATAATAATCACAGACTAGAAACAACAGTTTGAGTCTTTTGAAGTAGGGTTCTGGGAAGAAGTCATAATCAATCAATATCTTATTTGCTCCAGACAGCTCTTTGAACATTCTCAGTTAATTCTGACTGAATTGACGAGCTAATGGCTAGTCCAAGACTGGACAAGAACAAAGTAAGACTGCTGCTGTCCTTAAAACCACTACAATCCTAAAAGATCTAATTCATGCAAATGCAGTTTTGTAAACCTTTACAACCTTTACTGTCAATTTGACATTACACAATTATGTCTGCAAAGTTTTAGCTATTTGCAAATAGTGACAGTAGCTGTAGCACTTCCTGTGCAGCCTGGGACACTATACCAGCAGGAATATAATCAATAAGTGTGCACTGATGCACATTTTTTTAACTTCCGATCCGATCCCGATACTTAAATCTGGATATCGGCCAATGCAGATACCGATCCCATTCCGATATCATCATCATTATTGATTTCATATGAGGCTGTAATAATCTCCTCGCAATTACAATTTGTACAAATATATGCATGTATGTCCAAAAAGGCAACTTGAGTTAAGTTTTATTAATGTTGGATAAGTTTCAAAGTTAGAATTAAATCCTGCTAACACAAAACATGTGTTTTATTCCTAGCTTTAAAATAGATATTAAAGTGATTAAATAGCTTCAAACATCTGCTAAGTTCATGGCATAAACCAACACAGACATGTTCCTGTTTTTTAGTATTTTACATCGCTTTATAATGTAGCTGTTTTCGTTTCATTTTTTTTTAAATATATATAATTTTCTTGTATTTTTCAAATCATATATGTTTTTTAATGATCGTCTACTGTTGTACTGATAAATATCTCCTGGAGGGTAAACTATATCTTGGCTGCTAGTATTCAATCAAGCTGCGAAATCTTTCGTTTTCTAAAACTGATAGCGGTTGGTCATTAATTACGATGAAGTTTAGCAGCTTCTCGGTAAACATTCGAGCTCCGTGACTTCAGCGGTGTGTTCTTCTCGTTCAGTCCGAAGCAAGCAGTCTGATTTCGGTCAGCCACGCTCAGTCTACCCCTCCTCCGAGACGGGCAGACTGAGTGGAGCAGATTGAGCGCAGCTGACCGAAATCAGACTGCTTGCTTCGGACTGAACGAGAAGAACACACCGCTGAAGCCACAGAGCTCGAATGTTCAACGTAAAACTAACTTTACCGCGGTTTAATGTGGTGCTATGTTTGATTAAGTTTGTTGCATTATAGGTCGTGACCGAGCTTCCTCCTCTCGGTACAGCGGCTCTGCAGACACTGCACGTTGCTGTCTTGTTTTATGGTGTTTCTAGTGTAAAATACTTCCACACAGCGGACACGTTTCGATGAAAAGTTGGTTATCGGTTAGCAACAGTGCTGCTAACCCAGTCCTCACGTTGTAGCTGGCTGCAAACTATGAAATGGATTTCCTGAATGTGAGACGGGTCTTATTACTCTGGGTTTCATGAGACACACCTCCGGTCAGGAAATCCATTCCATAGTTTGAAGCCAACTTGCAGAGCAGCCGGCAGGGAATCACATGGAGACATTTCATCAGACGCATACATGCATCATGGATCGGAAATCTCTGTAGTTTGGATCGGAAAAATCCGATACGTAAATTATGCTGGTATCAGAGGCCGATACAGATACTGGCTCGGCCCCATCCTTAATAATCAACACCGCAAAACTGACAGCAGTGTTAAGGTTTAAACAAAATAGCGCTTGTAGGGGTTGCTGTGAAACTTTAGAGTGGAGTTGTTTTGAAAAGGCATACATTTGATTTGGGACTGGCCATTAGCTCTTCAACTTCCATTTCTGTAAACTGAAGCTATCTACAACAGGTGAGATATTATTCTTCCTACTCGTTTCGCTAAAACTGAATTTCAGAAGATTTGAACCATCCCTTTATTAAACTAGGCCATTTTTGTACCTAAACTCGGGGCTTCTTGTTTAAAACATGTGTAATAGTGAGACAATAAAGCAGTCGACTTCAGCTGTATGCAGAACCCTGCGTTTGTCTCCTCATGTAAAATCTGGGGCAGAAACCCTTGCAAAACAAATAAATATATATATCTGCAACTCTGGCCTACATCCAGCTGTGCAAAGCCTGCACCACTTTAATCCTAGGAACACGGTCAAACCCAAGTCCTCGCAGACCGACCCACAGCCCTGAGGGCAGAGTGACGGAGGGGGGAGTGCTGGTAGCCAGCCTGCTGCCTGAACAAATGGCACAACGATTAGAGGAAGACGACGCTTCCTGGAAAGGTGTGACCGCATCGCGAAGGGCCCAATCAAGCAGGGAAGAGAAGTGCTGACAGCTGCTAATGCATTTACCTGAGGGCTGAAAGACCATTTCTCTCAGGGAAGAAGAAAAAAAATGAAGTGAGCGTATACGTTTTATTTTTGACTCGGCATGAAGATGATTCAAATCTGAGCCGTCAGTCAAAACGGGGACAACAAATATTCGGGGGAGGGTAACGAGTCACTGATCCGTAACGCCAAAGCATGCACGCTTTCAAATGACAAAGTTCCTGTGTTTGTTTAAATGTCCCTTTATTTAGGCCGTGACACAGCAGTAGCTACAAACCAAAGTCCTTGGTAAGCAGCTGAGCTAAGGCCATACCCCAAACCTACACATTCAGCCCAGCTATCTGTATGAAGTACTTCACAGCCGACAGCAAAACAGGAGTTAAGCAACATGTAGAAAAGCCCTTTTATTTTTAAAGGAAGCGCTACAGTCCAAAGGAAGGACTTGAACAGAAAGGGAGTGGCTGCCAGAGGTACGATCACTCTGCAGTGAAATGAAACTCTGACACATTGGGAAGTCTTTCTGCCCTCCAAAACAGTCTAATGTCAGCGTTATCATGAGCTCCTTCTGGTATCTACAGAACAAACAGAACAGACGACCTGTATACGTCCACATACTCCTCAGGATGAAAGTAATAGGGAAGACATGAATACAATATGTCAGGTGGGACAAGTTAAACAAGACCATACCCATATTTTGGGTCACCAGAAAGCTCTGTAGAAATTTAATTCGTGAAAATTAATTTCCCCATTGGGAAAAAAAAAAAAAAAAAAGCATTATATTGTCCTACCCACCCTTCTTCTGCAAAGATTTACAACAGATGATGAAACCTCTCAATTTGGTCTAATCCTGCACCGCCCCATTTTAGATCATATAAAACTATTTTTGCTCTTTTCTATGATTGAAAACATGCATGGTGTGGGGTTTCTCCAGGCCTGACAACATCAATGCATTCCAGGTGTTGCATAAACATTTTAAAGGACATGCTTGGTTCTGATCCCCATCTTCTCTGGGAAACTCCACATTTAACCCAGCACTGGCTCACCTTATCATGGTTTATTGTCATTATTTTTAAATGTATCCGTAAAATCATTAGAATAATCATTGCTGTCAGCCCGACTGAGGCAGACGATTTATACACTGGATTACAAGCTGCAGAAGAAAGTACCGAGGATAAATCCGTGGAAAGCTTCTTTAACATGAATAGTTTATACATACCATATCATTCCTGTCTCTCCAGCTCTTCTCTCCTCTTCTATCTGCGACCGGTAAGACTTTTTTTTTTTTTTTTATAAACCAGACCTCTTCTCCGCACACACAAAAAAAAATTAAACAATTAAAAATAATCACATCGACATTTCCCCGTTTTTTCTAGTATACACGCTGCCTGGCCATCGCGTCCCACGTTAAGTGAAGTTCTTTAGAAACAATGCGGGTTTTCTTTGCCTTTCTTCGTTACGTGGAAAACAAAAAATGTGCTCGAACAACAAAAAAGAAAGCGAGAGAAAGGGAGAGAGGAGGGAAAAATTCCCAAACTCCCGTTCTTTCACAACGGCTGGAGAGAGAAAAGCAGAGGAGGAGGAGGCGTTGGAAAGCCCTGTTTCGGTGTGTTTTCCCCGTCTTGGTTCACCAGCACCACGTTGTTTTCACCGATTATTACTTCCTTTGTTGTGTCTCAAATAAAAAGGGAGTCCGCAAGGAACACGAATCCGAGCTCGTTGCACTAAAGGGTTGTTTTCAGAGCGGGGCTGCTCTCAGACAAGCCGCCGTGCTCTTCTTTCTGATGTTGTCGAGGCTCGCGCAGGATAAATGTGTGACGTTGTGTTCAAGTCGAGTTTTTTTTTCCAGCTTCCCGATAATGGCGGACCTTCTCCTGATTCTAGCATCTCCCTTCCTAGTTGCAGCGAGAGTCTCTCCCAGCGGTTTGAGGGCACAATTACACCACGCTTTGTTTCTGAGAGGCTGTCCAGCAATACGCAGGGAAATGGACGTAGAAATAATTAGTGAAGGAGTTTGCGGTAAATTATCACCGACGCCTCAAAGGCAGCACCCAATGTACGTTTGCGTGAGCCAAAAAAAAGGGAAACCTTACATGTCAGGTATAAAGCCAAATAGAAGGGTGTAAATTAATAACTAATTTACATTAGATTTCTACAGATATAGTTAGACATTTTCATTACATTAAATTTGAAACACACATCAGATGTTGTTTTGTTTTTTCAGATGTTCAAATGATTTTTGTCGTTCATTCATTCAACCTTTATTTAAAACAGATAAATCACATAGATCAGGGCTGTCAAACTCACTGACAAACGGGGCCAAAATTAAAAAAAATTCAAACTAAGGGCCAGTTTCAGAATCTACATTAACTCAGATCACACACCCAATATATTTTCTTGGTTGCAGGTTCCTCAAAAAAGAATCTGATTAGTCTCATTTGACATTCTCTGTTGCACTTTTGACATCATAATCAAAGATTACTGAAAAAAACTTAAGTGAAAAAAGTATTTTGCATTTAAAATATCTTGGGGGGCCAGATAAGATGTCAACGAGAGCCATATTTGTCCCCCGTACCTTGAGTTTGACATATATGACAGAGCCTGGAAGACTCATTTACAGGTGAGACCTGTTTGGACAGACAATAAAAAGTGGTGAAAAATAACACATAGGGTTTGGAGACAAAAAAAAAATCCTAACATGCTTTTAACCTCTGGTTGAAGGTCAACAGTGTGATAATGAAAAAATAAAATCTTGCGTAATGACACCAACATTAGGGTGGGGGGGACAAGGGCATTGAGCATGTCCAAAGACAACACACAGAGGCACTGCAGAGTTCAGATAAAATCACTCAGTTCAAGTAGTTTCTTCTGGAGAGATCGTGCACACTCGGGGGGTGCCGAGGACGACCAAAGATGAATCCAAGGAGTCCTGAAATGGTGACAGAATGGTTATTCAGCTAGGCCCCCCTGAAAAGTCCATGAAAATTCCTCGGTAGGAAGAGAGGGAGGGGAAGAGCATCAAGTTTACAAAACTTCCAGGCGAGTTGAGATAAGATGGACTTTCAAGGCCAGTCAGGGAGCCAAATTCAGATAAAAATGATTGTTTTGGAGACAGGCAGAACTTTAATGACATCTACCTTGAGTCTGTGTCGGTCCACTCGGTTCAGAAATGTCCAAAATACATGGCCAACACCAATGGACCGTGCCTGAGAATAATCCCCGAGATTTGATCCATCCTGCCAAAAGCATATGAGTCTGGTGCTCGAGGCATGAACCAAGCCATCATAAGGCAGGCAGCTTGACCAGGTCCAGATTTGCTGCCGACGACTTCCTTGATTGTAGATAAACCATCAACCAGCCGAATCCAAAAAGCAGGAACCAGTGATCATAAATCCAATTATAAATGCATCCTTAAAATCCACAAATGGCAGCAGAGATGACACGTCATCAAGTCTTCCAAGTCGATGAGATATCCAGCTGCGTGCATGCCAACAGGGCAAATCAGCTCACCTAAAGCCTGTCTTCTCTTTGAAGAAATGTTATCAATTGTTTTGAGAGACCAACTGACCAAATCCAAGTCCATAGCTATGATTCGGAAGATTTGTAGAACAGAGGCTCTAAAGCAGTTTCACAGGCAGGACAGGGCAAAGCAAAGCAGAGAGGGAGAGGAGGAGAAGACGTCCGCCCTTGACAAGAGCAAGTGTTCAAGTGTTTGTTCTTTTCTCTCATTTCAGTTCCATTACCTGACCATATATCAGTAAAGTACTGTATACACAAAGTGTCAGTAAATCTAACACTAGCCCATGAATCATTCAAGCATTGGTGGGCACAGCTAATCAAAAAGTTAGCTTTGCTAACCCATATCCCGCTAACTAAAATAATTAGCTTTGCTAATGCTAAGATGCTGAACAGTTTTTAAAAAGCTAACGCTAACCACTAAGACCACTGACAGTCTGCGTCACACTCTTTGTTTCCTTCTTCCAGTTGTAGCTGCTTCGATCAATCACGTCTTGTCACGTGTACACCTAGCTTAACGACTCTTCAGACACACTGCAACAGACAGAAATAAACTTGTGAATTTTGTTAGCGGACTTAAAGTTGGTGAAACTAATTTAGCGGAAGCTAATTCTGCTAACGGTTTCCAAAGTTAGCATGGTGGTGCAGTTGGTAGAGCTGTTACATCTCAGCGAGAAGGTCACTGGTTCAAATCCCGGCCGGGGCCTCTCTGGGTGGAGTTTGCATGATCTCTCCAATGCATGCATGGGTTTTCTCCAGATACTCCAGTTTCCTCCCACAGACCAACAACATGCATGTTAGGCTGATTGGTAACTCTAAATTGCCCCTAGGTGTGTGATAGAGTGAGTGTTTGTCTCATTTGTCTCTATGTGTCCCTGTGATGGACTGGAGACCCGTCCAGGGTGTCCCCCACCTCTCGCACAGTGATGGCTGGACATGGGCACTGCAGTGACCACATCGACCCATTAAGGAAGAAGTGGGTAAATATAATGGATGGATGGTTTCCAAAGTTTGCAAAAATGTTAATCCGCTAAAAGAAAAATTAGTTCCGCTATTTGCTGTTAGCGAATTTGCGGAACTATGCCCACCACTGCATTTAAGCGTATAAAGATTCCTAAACTCAAAGGATGAACCAGTATTGTGCCGACACATAATAGACAACATAGCATACAGGTAATTTTAAATAGGATTTTTAACATTTTGTTACTAGCAGCCAGTCACCGTCATAAAGGCAATCTGTTCCTATAATTTGCTAGCTAATAACTAGCAAGTAGCTAGCTATCTAACAGCAGCCTATCACAAAAACACAAATTATTTCCATTTTATAGCAGTATCTATGAAAAATACTAAATATAAAAGAGTTTGTCAAATAAAATAGTATTCCAGCATCAACAAGGTGAATCCCAAAGAGCTATTTGCTGATACTTTGTACAGTAAATCAGTAGTTCCCAAAATTGGGATTCCTATCTCTCTGTGGGTCATGAAACACTAATGGCTGATTTATACTCTGTCAGACATAAGACATGTTCTCGATGACATAAATGAGACACTCTTCTTGGCATGGACATTTCATACTCATAAACTAGATAGAACTCCTTATAAGCCCTCCCACTGCAGCAACGTTACAGAAACAACACAGCAAAAGAACAGTTAGCAGTGAATGTTTATTTGTAGTTGATGATGGAAGAACTGGGGGAGGAAGATCGTATATCTGTTGTTAACTGAGAAGAAGTGCTATTTTGCTAATTTGTCACAAAGAGACCACTGCCAGGTGGTGCGGGAACATGTCCCTACATTGCCCAGCCAAGGCATACTACCTCCACGACAGCGCCGCCATTGACAGACGTCTGTGCACAAAAATTGTGCTATCTGCTATGATTCATCTTTTTAAGATAATCAGTATATCACAGGTCCCTCTTGCAAATGAGTCCCCGTGGTTCAATGAGGTTAGCCTGTATAAACAAATGTTGAATGAAAAAAGATTTATTGGAATATCTTTATGGGTTTAGCTGGAAGAGTTGTATGCCAAACCACATCAATTTTTCATCAACATTTTGTGCTACTGGTGCTTAGCGTATTTTTAGTTTAACCTTTTTCTTAGTTCATATCTTAGATCTTATTACTGTTTTTCTTTTCCAATTTATACTTTTGTTGGATGTAACTGGGACCCTGTGTACACAATTTCGTTCAACCACAAGTACCATATGTGGTGCGTATGACAAATAAAGAACCTTGAATCCTTGAATCAACTGACTCTGATGCAGAGGAGCAGCTACTGTACCCTGAGCTCTCCCCAGGTGAAAGAGCTCTTCCCTGTCTGGCCAGATACCCTATGATGGAAGATAACGTTGGCTGCTTGTATCCAGGATCTCATTCTTTGGGTCCTGATCCAAACCTCATGACCATAGGTGAAGGTTGGAATGTAGACAGACCAGGAAAATTGAGAGCTTTGCCTTTTTATTCAACTCTTTTCTCACCACAACTGACTGAAGCAACTGGCTCAATACTGAGGACAAGGCTCCGATGTGTCGATTCATCTCCCGCTCCATCTTAACATCACTGTTCTCTATTTCAAATGCAAATATTAGTCACCGTCTGACACATCTGAAAGTCCCATGGCTACATCACACATTACAGATTCACTAAAGCAGTCACACAGGGGACCATGACCTAAAAGCCTCATCCAGCAGCAGAGAGGGGAAACATTTCTTTCCTGAGAGAATCAATCATCTCAAAGGTTAGCCCTAATTGCATGAATTGTGCTCGGAGTTGTCCACTTGATAAAAGAATTACCATGAAGAGGTTTTTTATGATGATTAGTTCAGCCACTGAACGAGTACAGTAATTGAATTTTCCGAGGAGGGCTGTGAAGCTGTAATTCTATAACAGAGAAACTTCTGCCATGCAAGAACGCAAAAAGACGTTTTACGCCTTGATTGAGTCCCTCTCTTGAAAATCGTAGAATTCCAAGAATTTGCCGTCTGAGTCGGTTCTTTTAACTAAACTGCCATCAGTGCATTGTCGTTTTATAGAATGTGACTCACCATAAATAGATGAGGTGTGTTGTCTGTTGTTTGACTAATTCTCCTTGCTTCTGTGTCCTGCCACGTTAGTCGTCTTGTTTTAAGCAATATTTGCATGACCTCAACCACACAGAGCAAGATTAGCTACGGTCAAAGTTTCTGTTGATTAATCTTTTACATCCCCTTTTTTTTTGTTGCTCAGCATTAAAGCACTTCTATCCATGACGTATGGAGTTATGACACAGTTAAGAGATTTACTTCTTGCAAAACCTTACCGCAGTGTTATGAGTCCACGCACATCAATACAACACATAGCAAAGTGTTCCACAAAGGAAAGACGTGTGCCGTTTCCACACTGGCTGATTCCTCCTTTTGTTTTATTCATTTCCTATTCCACCTCAACTATTTCTGCATTTGCAGCTGAAAAACTTCTGGGTCCCAAGGGCATGCTCATTCCTCTACACGCAATTGTGCAATCCCTGACAATCACAGTCCAAACTACCTCCTCCACCACCCCATGTCAGAGATCAGATCCGAACTGAGCTGCCAGATCTGCACACCAGGAGTTGGCAACATTTTATTTCCAAAGGGAATCACAAGTTATTTGATGCAATCAAAGAACCACATAGTGAGTTGGGGAATACATTTTCTTTATGACAGATTATCTGGAAGACATATCCAGGCGTATTCTTGTTGTAGCATAGTTAGCATGCTTGGTAAAGTCTCACCAGTACACTTTAGGACAAATAAGACAAAGCTTCTGTAAACAGGCTTTTGGGAACATACTGTATGTTTTTAGCTTAAAATATGCAAAATAATGTCATAGGTTTTCTATTTGGAGTCTTTATGTTCAGTCTAATGTAGCTTTGGAAACACAAACAATGACTCACAAGTCAAAAGAAAATAAGAAGTTTTGGCTAAACTTAGTCCAAAAGTTTTACATGTATTTTTCCATGATGTTCAATTTATTGATTTATTTTAGGTTTTATTGATAAAATCCAAGTTTTCATGAACTTATTTTAATTTTTTTCAAAGAAAATTGGGACAAAATGGAGATTGTCCCATGGTCACTTTGGGCCCTTGAGCCGTGTATTGCTCATGTGTGCTGTAAACAAACCCTGAGGCCTCACAAAAGGAGACCATAAACTAACAAAAAATATATGCACTGCATGTCTAATCCTGAATTTTTGATTTAACGATTAATTTAAGATCATTTAAGTATAATTATTTACTTAATATATTTAGAACCTGTGGCAAATTTTACAAGAAAACAAATTAAAACTAAAAATAGGAGTAGTTTAACAAAATATTTAAAAAAAAAATGTTTTAACCTGTACGCCTCTGTAATTTGTTTTTATATTTGTATGCCAAATCTTACAATGCTTAATTTAACAGCGCTTAAATAATTTAATTATTTATAATATTATTATTATTTTTTTACCAGACTTCTTTTTATCATTTTGTCTTTTATTGATTTTTTTTTTTTTTGTTTGTTTGTTTAACATGTACAGAGGTTAAAAAAAAAAAAAAAAAGAATACGTACATATCCAAGATTGTTGTACCATATAATCACATCATAGACCAATTTTATTTACTTCTTTAGGTATTGCTAAAAGCATTCGTAGTCAAGACTAACAAGTTATACGTTTTAAGATTATTAACCAAACTGCCATATTTGCTGTAAAAAAATTACATTTCAATTTTTTTCACAACTAATCTTTCAAAAACCTTTTTAAAAGTTTTAGTGTGCATTGTAACATTTAAAACTTAGTGTGTTTTCACACCTGATAGTCTGGTAGGCTCGATTCGTTTGGGGACCAAAATTCAGAACATTTGTTAGACTGAAACTGTATTGCAATCATTCATACCCAGACTATCGTTCCTCCTGCACATTAGTTTATTCTGCCTATCATTCTTTCAAAAACAAATTACATTTTGTTTTTTGTGATATTTGGGCTTTCAGACAGAGATTCACAAATTCATTATTTTTATTAGAGGTCTGATAGTGGCGGAGTGGTGACACAGAGGTTTGAGAAGGCAAACCTATAATCACCAGTTTGAATCCCAGTACTGACAAGATCAAAATGTGGGTGGAAAAGTTGAAGCCTCCAAACTCATTTGCCCCATTCTGGGCCCCTAGAAGTCAGCTCTTTGCTCCACACAGAAGGCTGTGGTAGCTCGGGGATCTGTGGTTTCATAAGGATGGGAATCCGGCATTAAAACAACTGTCAAGTCTTCGTGCAAGTTAGTTCACTGTGGCTACCCCTGACGAAGGGAGCAGCAAAAACAAGAAAACAGTTTTAGACGTCTGAAACAGAAATGTTCCTGTTGTTTATTATAATGAAGCTGAAATCATTCATGATTTTTATTTCACTTATTTATAATTAAAAGGGCACCCCATAAAGCTCCTAACAGATAACATATTTTTAGATATTTATTTTTATGTACATTGTTTTTAGTCATTTATGTTACTGGTGTGTTTTTGTTTAAACCATTCATAACATAAATTATTGATATATTGCTAATATTTTTACTACTTAAAATATATTTCAGATATTCATAATCATATTAGCTATATCTGATAAAAGATTTAATTTGATATATCATACCTAAAAAATAAAATGCATAACTAGTAATAACTACCTTTTGGATATCATAAGTGTGAGATTTCTAAATATCTTTGAAAAATCTACAAAATTTACAAAGTATGTTCTCACAAGCCAAAAGCCCAAATGTCATAAATGGGAAAACTGACATTATTTATCCTAGGAAGAATAAAATGTAATAATAATAACAACACTCTTGAGAGCTGAAATCTCCCTTTTACCTTTCAAAAATTAAGTTTTACACATCAGCTGAGACAAACTATTATATGATACACCGCTTTGCCAAATTTTTGAAAGCCCGGCCCCGTCTCACGTGATTCAAATCGTCATTTAACGAGTTACGTCAAGGAGGGCCGCTGGTTCTTGTAGTTCAACATCGAATGATTCCAAATCTCATTTGGAGTCTTATCGACTACATGTCCCATGATGCAACATATCAACGTAAGCTTGCTGCTTTTTCGTTAGCTTGGAAAGATAGCGGTAGCGGACGAGTCGTGGGGGAAAAAAAGAAATATTAATGTATTAATGTAGAATTGTTACGTTATTGCTCAGGAACGTACTACTGTTGAGCCCCCAAGGCGCCTTTTTAGGAGAAGAAAATGGTAAAAATGGACATTTTTAAGCTTTTATTATGTTTAAGGCTCACATTATCTGTAGCCTGCTAGCGTTAATTGAGCTCGATAGAGCGTCTTCACAGGTCAAATTAAAGACGTCTCAGTGTTTTCCTTCAGAAATTAAAATTAAAATTTGGTTAACATTAACCAAACCAAGGTTGTCAGTGTTTAACTACAGCTACTTTTCTAATGCTAATGAAGAAAGCTTCCAAAGGCTTTTCTTCCGGCCATTTTTAGTTGGACTACTTGGATATTTTTTTTTCTAATTTGCTCCCATCTTAAATGACTGTCTTTACGGGCTTCTTTGGCTGTGTTGTTATTATTATTATTTTAAATAAAAAAATTTTTTTAAATGTTTTTCATAGATCCGCTTCATCCTGATCCAGAACCGAGCAGGGAAGACTCGTCTGGCCAAGTGGTACATGCAGTTTGATGATGATGAGAAGCAGAAACTGATCGAGGAGGTTCATGCTGTGGTTACTGTCAGGGATGCCAAACACACCAACTTTGTGGAGGTTTGTGTCGAATCTGCTTTAAAAGTCAGGTTGATAACAGAAAATGGTTTTAGGTTTTCACAAGAATCGCACCTGCTGAAACATCAGTCGAGACTTGTGTGATAATTGCTTATGTATGTGTTAATTGAAACTCAAAAGGCAATTCCTTCCATGCAGTTCACGCTTTACGGATCATTGTGTTCAAAGTATACTTGTTGGTCTCTGTGTAGTGAAATTTCTGTAATCTTCAGGTCTAAGCAGGTCCTGCTTGAACAGGTTTTATCTCAGAAAGTTTAACATTTGTGTGCATAGACTGAGCAACAAGCACAAAGGCGATACAGAGTCTCATTTGAATCCTCAACTGGGGTCATGACATGTCACAGCTGCGTCCAGATTTTCCATTTTAGGTCCTAAAGTACATGTAATTACATTTTAAATGTGGAAATTAATTCTGTGTTGTAGTTTTGTCTGAGGATTTCAGATGTTATCGCACAGTAACAAGAACTAAAACATGATTCAGCAGCCCGCTGGAAGAAATTTTGATTTTGAACATTCAGCCTTCCTCACAAAATAAATCCTGTTTTTGCTTTTTAAACTGGTTTGTTTTACAGTAGTTTTTTTTTATGATTTGGATTGACTAAATGTGTCACTTTGAAATCAATTTGACTTGTATTTTTGTGATTCAAGTAGGTCTTAAATTCCAATCTTAGTCTTTTAATAGTTAAGATTAACTGACTGAAACCAGCAGAAACCCAGCTGTATGTGCTCTTTGAATGAAATCCCCTTGTTTGATTGATTTTTTAAAATATTTCTAACTGTACTCAAAAATATTATTCATACAAGTATCGGTACACAATATAAAGTTTCTAAAGCTTTAGTCGTTTGCCGAATTGTTGCAAAAATGGGATGCAAAGTTTGTGTTTACTGATCAAATGACACCCTGTGTTGGTCACCAGTGATGCTCACTTCTAACATTTCAATTGGCTTTTATAATTATCCATACTGCACACATTGAATCTGAAAAAAACTGAATAAGTTTCTACATTTGTGTGAAAAATCTAGTTTTTAGGTCACTAATCTGGCCTGAGCATGAAATGGGGCTCCGCACACGTCCTGTGATTTTTATGTTGCACTACACAGACTAACATTCATGAACTGCCTGACTGGTATACATCCTTAAAAAAAGACCAGAAATATTCTTGTTTACTCATTTTTATTTTAAGTATAAAAGGTTTGTTTCACTCCAAAGCCACGGATCAGCCTTGGTGTTGCTGCTGCTGTTGTCATCAGAAGATAAGAGCTGTGGTTATTAAGAGAATTTATCTGTTTTTGTCCTCACAGTTCAGGAACTTCAAGATTATTTACCGGCGTTACGCTGGTCTGTACTTCTGTATCTGTGTGGACGTGACCGATAACAACCTGGCGTACCTCGAGGCCATCCACAACTTTGTCGAGGTAACGAAACGCACATGGCGTATAGGCGTAGAAGGTGAACTGTGATGGCTTAGCTGTCATGATCTTGGCCGACGGTGTTGTTTTTAAAGTGCTTTATATATAAATCTGTATTGTATGGTCTGAGGGGTTTCAGGTACCAGTACTTTCTTTACATGAGTGAGTTCATTCACTTGGTTGTACTTCTCTTTAGCTTTTATTTTAGACAAACAAGGACGAAAGAATCCAGTCGTTTCTACACTTACTATAGAAATTACAGTAATTCTGCATCCTTTCTACAGTAAACTGAAACAAAGTGGTGGAGAAACACCAGTATTTGACAATTGCTTCTGTTACTATAGTTGCAACAAAACCTCTGAGTAAGGAGACTGTAGAAAACCTGAAAGGTTTAAAATGTAAATATTTTAATGTATTTATAGTTTTTTTTTCCCCACCAGTGTGATATATGAAATCACATTTCACTACTGAGGAGAATAGAATTAGTTTTATTAGCCTTGAACTCCTGCATTATACCTCACTCACTACTAATATTAGACAAATGGAAAATATTTTATTAGTGTATTCAGTGACTCTTTCCATCACTGCTTTGTGAATGTTTTAAGTGTGCAGCTCTAGAACTAAATAATCCCTGTCTGACAGAGCAGTCACTTAAAAGCAATGGTTCCCAACACTGGTCCCTGAAGAACACCTTCCTGCACGTTTTAGTTGTTTCCCTGCTCCAACACACCTGATTCAGTGATTTCATTACTTCATCAAGTTCTGCAGAAGCCTGTTAATCACCCATTCATTCCAATAAGGCGTGCCAAAGCAGGGAAGCAACTAAAACATGCAGGATGGTATTCCTCAAGGACCAGTGTTGGGAACCACTGACTTCAAGCCATTAATGTCCTACAAATGAATTTCCTTCACATCACTGTGTAAATAAAGGAATTAAAGTTTGATTTTCTTGTTCTGTCTGTTCCTCTTGGAAGGTGCTGAACGAGTATTTTCACAACGTGTGTGAACTGGACCTTGTGTTCAACTTCTACAAGGTAAGGATTAAATAATTTAGATTTTCTAGTGATTTTGCAAAAACCTTTGACATAAGGATGGATACACGAGAGGGTAAATGGCAGGGTGCTGTTTTTTATTAGACGTTCTAATGAACCCCTGCTGGTGTTTTTAAATGTTTCTCATGATTTATTACCCAGAGAACAACTCGTCTTCGTCGTCTTGTTAAAAAAAAAAAAAAAAAACACCTGACGTCAGCTGACAACAAAGACTTGTTTAACCCTCAGAGGTCCTGTTTGTGACAATAAGTGGGAAATATCGACCACCTTAACTGCTTAAAAATACCTTTTTATTTTCCACCTTAAACTTGTAAATTTGTGTTATCTCATCCTGAAATAAAAATGTAAAGTTTTCATTACTTTCTTAGTTTTAGCTCCTTAAAGGCCTTTAGTTAAAATAAAAATAAATAAACTTCACCTTTTATTATACCAGTAATTTATTTTTATTGATAATATATATTATGGCTTTTTTTTTTTTTTTTTTTGGAAAAGGCATTTTCCCCTATTTAAATGCCTCAAAATAATTTTTTGCCATTATTTATTTATTTATTCAAGTCTGGAGTTTTGGGAATACCATCCATCCCTCCGGACCCTCCAGAACTTACACGAGTCAGACACGGAGGATTTTTCATTTTATTCTAAACATTTTTTAAAATTTTATATTTCTAAAACTCTACTCGTTTACAGCGTCCGTGTGTTTACTTCTTTACTTTTACTACCGGTCCATCCACCAACTGAGTCCTGTTTTCAGTCAAGCCTTCAGGAGTCAGCAGAGCGGCCGATTCTTCAGCCTGCGTGCGTGTGGCTCTGCTGGTTTGTTTCAAATGCTTATTCGTCGTGTACAAAGCAACTGTGTTGCTGCTCATTAAATCTGAACGAAAATGATTTTTGTCGGACAAGATGAGAGACCTGGTTCTAGAGCACCTCTCCTGGTACGTTGCAGACCCCTGTTGGTGATTTTTACAGCAACTGGATCATCACTTAGTGGGCGAATATAAAGATAGAAGTAAAACTAACATTACTGAAAGGAATTCATTGTTTCATGATATAACTATGGGAATAAAATTGATTTCAATATGTTCGATTTTCCCACTAAGGACCACTAGAGGGCAGTAAAGATACTGGAGTTAGGGAGAATTTGAAGCAATTCTGACCAAGTAAAACATTTAAAGGATTTTTAGTCTTTCAGGAGGGATTGGGTTTATTGACACCAAAAGCATACAAAAAAAAAAATAATAATAATAAAACTTGAACAAAAATCAATGTGTGGCTATTTTTTTTACTGATGGGATCTTCTGAGGGTTAACTCCACTGATGCCACCTCATTGTCATATGGTGAAGCCGCATGCTTTTTGCCACTCGTTTTGATGACGAGAACGAGGGAGTTGGGCACCATTCACATGACTTTTCATCGCGTAACCAAACTCTTGAATGTGCGCAAGTGTCATTTGTGCTCTTCTGCGTCTGCAGGTGTACACGGTGGTGGACGAGATGTTCCTGGCAGGAGAGATCAGGGAGACCAGTCAGACCAAGGTTCTCAAGCAGCTCCTCATGCTCCAGTCACTAGAATAATAAAAAATTAAAAAAAAGTTTTTCCTGCGCACTTATCTACCGCCCTGACCCCCACCTCGACCTTCACCTCGTCTCTATCTCTGAAAATGAACCACAACATTCCCCTGCCTCCACCTCCTATCTTCGGTGGGGGCGTTGTTTAGAATATAAATGCACAATATTGTTTACATATGGATGTTTGAGTTCAGCTGAGTCTATTTGTCGCAATATTCTGTCCAAGTCAGAGTAGATTTTTAACTCATTAACATTTCAAATAATCCCGTCGATGTTATAACTCTGTTCTTCGTCTAACCCGAGGTTGGAGACGTTTGTGTTGATCTGCTTGGTCTCTCCTCTATATCTCATTAACCTGAACGCGTATTTAATGCCACTTCTGTAACTAACAAGCCCCATAAAGATAAACCACGGCTAACGACCCGCGTGCATGGAGAACCTGCAGTTGTCGACCCCCTTAAATCCACACAGAGGACGATCTTAGCGGTACAGTATCCGGAGCGAACTACAAAGCTCTTCAGAGCGATTGACCCGGCCCAGATGCTGCTTATTGAATGGAGGGCTCTCAGAACGAGCACCAATTCAGCAGCGTGTCGGGCATCCTGGGTGTCAACAGGGTGGGTCATGTTACATTCGATGGGTTTGAAATGCATCCAGAGGTGCCTGTAGGCTCTTAAACGCGTACTAACACACAGAGGCTGTATGTTCTCCATAAAGCAGTACTGTGACGTTTGATGCGTCTTCTGTCAAATATTGTGGAACTTGATGGCGATAAGAGAAAAGGTGGTTTAGGAGCTGTACATTCCTTTGATGTCGCATAAAATACATTTTTAATTCCCTGGTGGAGTCTGAGAGTTGCTGGTTATTCATGACCGTTTGCTGAAATTAAATCTGTTTAATCATATCCAGTCACACACCTGATTTCATACGATGCTGAGGGTTTCTTTTTTTTTTTTACAATAAGTGGTGAAATATGTGCAGCTTCCTCTGTCAGCCTGTTGGTTGATGGAAGGTGTGTTACCGTCTCTAATTCAAAACCTATGCGTCTCATTTTGTGTAAATAAATTGATCAAGTGGTCCAGCTTCGTCTCAGTCTTCTTTTATAAGAAAATGTTTGAATATGAGTTTCTGTCCAGGGATTTGGCACCATCTAGTGCTAAAACGATGATAGCCGGTGTAGAATTGATGAATCTTGTCAGCATGTCCACCTCGGCTGCACTGAGCTCCAGACATGACTCACAGGGCGTCAACTCGTCCTCTGATACTGGAGAGGCACGATTAAAACAGAAGAGGGTACATTTTAGTTTCCATCAGGTCCAGTGACAAATGAGCTGCAGATGTTTGTCACTTAATAGCATTCGCTCATATTTAGGAATTAAGTTTTAATGAACAAATTAAGTAGCAGAGCTCAATATTGAATACTGACTGAGCCTGACTTTGTGTGTGTAAAGGTCACTTGGCTGTGGTGGCCATCATGATTTGGACTGACTCCCAACAGTTAATGGGTTTATAAGCACATCCAGTCATGAGAGTTTCACTAAATGACAGAGTTGACACCAATGATTAATGCCAAGTGGTTTGCTGATGTCCCCCGTCACTGAGGGATTTGAATAGTGAGTGTTTCTAGTTTGAAAGTTTTTCTGGACTGGAATCGAACAGGAAATGCAAGTGTACCTTAATGTTTTTGGTGCGAGATATTCAAGGTGGTAGGAGCTACACTGTAGAACAGAGGTATGGTAGTTTTGTCCCAGGCAGAGCACTGACCAACCCTGATGAATGGAAGGAGAAATTTTAACCATCACATGCAAGGGCAGAGCCAGTGGGGTGGCCAATGGTGGCCTTGCCCCCCATAAACTAATCTACAGCCACCCCAGTCATTTGAAGACACTATACTTTTAAGCAATATACAAATTAGAAAGAATGGTTTCCTCAAATGATCGGGGGTGCTGGTTTATGTAGTCCCTCGATTATTGCAGGGGTTATGTTCCACACACCCTCGCGATAAGTGAAAAACAGCAATGTAAAAACGCTATATTTATTTTAGTATTCTTATATTAAGGCTTTATAAACCCTTCACACACTTGCAGATTCTAAACTCTTAAACCTACATCATTTTAACAACATACGTACATGTACTGTACAATACTGCAACATTTTACTCGCCAGCTCTGTAGAACAACAGCTCGTTCTGATTGGGCTTGGTTCTGGTTCTGCAGACCCACCCTGCAGCGACAAAGCCCACCGCCCCGTCCAGGTTGATGTACACGTGGATAATTGAGCTTCAGGATTATTTGTGACTTTCCTGCCAGTTCTGTGAGCTGAATAGATAAAGCAGCAGCTGGAAGCACTGTTGGCTTCTGGGTAGTGTAGTTTGTTTTCAACTGGCCTTAAAGTGCAGGCTTATTTAAAACTACTACCAGTAAATGGCGGCACCTGTCCAAAGTATTTTTGTTTTTGAGAACTTTTTATTTCATACCGTCCCAATCACGTAATATTAAAATTGACAATTGTTGAAAAACCGCGAGTGAAAATCAAACTGAAGTAGCGAGGGACTATATGTACATGGTGGTGGCCATCTTGGATTTTAACGTGGCAAGGACATTTTCTTACGCCTGCATGTAGCCACACATCAAAATGGAAGTCAGCACCTCCCTTATTTCAGGTCATTTCACTCACAACATGCACGCACGGACAGAATTTTCCAATTCCCACTTTTTGTTCTGCAACAGAGGACAAGAAACGTGCACCGAATAGTGCTTGATGTGGATTATGATCATCTACTACCATTCCAAGTTTCAACTTTAGATATCTGTAAAACTGTCTGACTTGTAGCCATGTTGGTGTTTTCAATGATCCACTGGATTCAACAGCCATATTGAAATGACTAAAGGTTGACCAGCTGTAGACATAAGACCAATAATTTGAGTTTTATTACAATCTGTTCAATGGTTTCTGACATTTTGCTAACAGATGCAGAATGACTGTTACAAACACACCAAACTTTAGCTCAATAACTGTAAAATGTATAAATATAAATAGTCATTAGGGGAAACAAATGTACAACAAGCAGTTTACTTAGAATTGTATTAATACAACAATCAATGATTAATACTCGCAATAGATAATCTTATTTACAGGATCAGGTACTTGAGTTGTACAGCAGTACTTGGGTTGATTATATCACATATTTTACAGAACAAATGAGTTGGATCATTAAACGATTTAACTCCAGACTGGAACATGTGATGACATATTACTAAGGCTACTCTGAGGTGTGCAACACAGAGAAGCTGCGACTCTGGTTTCATTGTTTCAAACCGTTTCAAAGACTTTAATTAGCTGTGACGAGTCACCGAACGCTCACAAAGTCAACATCACGTCGATACTCTGGCCTCGTGGCGGCAGAAACTATGATCACATCTACATTAAAATTTTTATTACAGTATACTCCTCAATTAAAATAAAATGTACATTTCTATAGTTACAGCATATAACAAGTTTTCAAAGTAAAAGTGCACTTTCAGAGGAGGCACGCCACAGAACGCAGAAGGAAACGTGTTTTTGTCTGACTCATCTGACGGGAGCGTTTTCTCTTGGCGTGGTGACTCACTTGAACGCAGCCGAGGGTTTGACCGAGACTTGTGGACATAAACAAGTTTGTTTTCCTCTCCTCTCTGGTCAGTGTGAGTTGTAGTCGTCAGTTCAGGCAGAGGCGGCGACCCACGACCCAACGGAGAGTGAGAAAGTTGAACGATGACGATGCGGAGCCTCATTTTTCTTCATCGACACCAAAAACGATGGCATTGAAAGTCATATTTCTTTTTTGGAGAGAGGAAACATCCCAGCTTCCTTAGTTTTCAAACACTTGAGGCAAACCCAGCTGCAGTTTGCTCCTATAAACTCTGAACCTTTCTAAATTTCACAAGAGCAATGATTTCAACCCTGTGAGACTGATAAGACATCGGGACATTTTTTCTTTGTTGTGCTTCTGCAGTGACCCACAGACTCCTCCCTGTGGTTCACACCGAACTGTTCCCTTCAACAGTTCAGTCACAATCTGGAAGTAATTCTATAGATGGGACAAAAAGCTGCTAATCTACATTATAAAAGTGCATTTGTAATGAAAAATAAAACCATTCTCGGTGTAAGACTCAGCGATGACACGACTTGACAAATTTCCATCTGAATCCACTGATTAGCTTCAATTATCAGAGTAGCTCAGCAACAACCATAGAAATAGATGTTAGTTCTATGGATGTTAAGTCTGGTTCTATAGAATCATCGTAAAGTCAAATTAGAGCAAGGTAAAAAAAAAAAATCCAGATTACATGTTTATTTTTTTCATTTACCCTTTATTTATCCAGCTAGTCTCATTGAGCCACGAGAACTCATTTTCAAGAGAGACCTGTTTGGGGAGCAGATGGTGGGGGTTGAGGGCCTTGCTCAGGGGCCCAGGGTGGGGCGAATGAGGGTGGATGCAGGTGTGAGTGTTTCACCTTTTCCACCCACATTTTGATGTTGAGGGTACCGGGAGGTGAACCTGCGACTTTCCGATCACAAGCCCATCTTCTAACCTCTGCTCCACCACTCCCCCATATACCGTTATACCGTTTGTTACAAACCAACTGCAGGATTGAACTGAACAAAAACTACCGGTAGTACCAAGTCGCTCCAGGAGAGGCTGAATAACAAAAACACTGACAACGTTTAACAATGTGCAAATGACAAAAGCATTTTGGACTTACTAAAAACAAAGTGAGACAAAACCAAACTACAAACAACCCAGGGCTTGTCCTCGTCTGATGATGATGATGATGATGTCTCTTCATGATCCGGTTGTGTTCCTGCTGAGGAGTTTCCCTGTCCGGATCAGAAGCACAACAGAGCCGCTCAGATGGAGACGAGTATTCATAGTCGTGGTCGGCGGTTTGAGTCCACCTCTGCTCATCCAGGTGATCTAAGGTACGAGGTGCACTCACACACACACTCTGACACACACACACTCTCACACACACTGAAGAACACCTGGAGCTGAGCTGCATATAAAAAAAAAAAACAGATAAATGATTTCCGTCACAGCCTTATAAAGTCCAGCTTCAGGTCCTGGTTCCAGTCTTGAAGTGTTGTCCTGTCACTGACCTGTAGGGGGCGTCCCGTCAGCGTGGGCCCGTGGGTTCAGGTGAGGATGGCACCTGACCCTAGCAGTTACACTGCTGCTTGTTCTGTGTCGTTGTGCCTCTGGGCTGCCGCAGCTGCCTCAGCGACGCGTCTCCGTACTGAATCCCTGAGCCCATTCTCTCCGGGTCCAGCTCTCCTTAAGTGTGGACCAGAATCAGAACCGTCAATGATGAATGAAAACCCAGAGTTAAAATGGATAAACGGTGTAAAACGTTAAAAGTACCTGACTCTATCTTGTTGAGGATGATGCGAGCGCATTTCAAGAACCCCTCTTCGACGTTCTCGCCCGTCAGAGCGCTCGTCTCTAGAAACATTAGATCTGCGTGGGGACCAGGATGCAGAAGTCACCAGGAGGGGACGAGGATTGAACAGGTATATTTATAGAAAATGAGATGCATACGTGAGGTGCGAGGTAACAGGGACTGAGCGTCAATTACCGTTCTCCTGAGCGAAGCGTGAGGCCTCCAGGAAGGTCACCTCTCTGTCTGCGTCCAGGTCTTTCTTGTTGCCGCACAGAATAATAACGATGTTGGGGCTGGCTAGTGTCCGTGCGTCTGTCAGCCAGTTTGTCAGGGCGTTGTACGTCTCTCGACTGTTAAAGGAAGACAGCTGTTTAATTGTGGCCTGGGGAACGAACAGATTTGTATTTTTCCAGAATAAACAGCTTCAGGAGTTAATCTGGCAACTCTAAATCTCACTTGGTGATAAAATACTGACCAGGTCAAGGCCCTAAAACACCAGCTGACCTGTTGGCGCTCAGAGCACGCGTTGAGAATGACCCTCAGTTATTACCAGACCAACTGTTAGCTCAGTATTTGTAAAATGACCTCAGTTGTAGCCATGTTTGTGCTGGCTAAAGTCAATTGTGTCACAAATCCTAAATGGGACTGAATTCAAAAGTTACTTGAAAGTTTCATCAAAATCCACCCAGTGGTTCATATTTTGTTAAACAGGTGGTGACCAACAATTGATGCTAAAGGTTTAAGCAAAGGTATTGCTCAATGTGTAGAGCTTGAAGTGTGCGTTGGGGATGACGCTCAAATATTTTCCCCTCAGGGCTGTGTGTTGAGCCCCCTCCTGTTCACTCTGCTCACGTATGACTGCGCACCGACCCATCCAGGCTGTCATTCTGTGAAGTTTGCAGATGATGCAGCGGTGGCTGGATGCATCACAAACAACGATGAGTCCAGCTACAGACAGGAGGTGGAACACCTGGAGAGCTGGTGCAAGAAGAAGAACCTTCACATCAATGTGAAGAAAACGAAGGAGATGATTGTGGATTTCAGAAAGAGCAAACACCCTACCTGCCCCCCACCCACACACACACACAGAACATAGGAGAATCTGTGGTGGAAGTGGTCTCCAGTTACAAGGTCTTGGGTGTGCACATGAATGACAACCTCAGCTGGAGCAACACCACCACCAGCCTGATCAAGAAAGCTCATCAGAGACTCTACTTCTTCAGGCGACTGAGGCGAGCTGGACTGGGAAGCTCAGTCCTCACCTCCTTCTACAGGTGTGCAGTGGAGAGCATCCTGTGCTCCAGCATCAACATGTGGCATGGAGGCTGCACAGCTGCAGAAAGAAAAGCTTTGCAGAGAGTGGTGAAGGCTGCACAGAAGTCTGTTGGAGTCAACCTCCCCACCATCACAGACATCTACACCTCCAGATGCAGAAAGAAGGCCACCTGCATCATGAATGACCCCACTCACCCAGCACACACACTTTTTGCCCCGCTCCCCTCAGGAAGGAGGTTAAGGAGCATTAAATGTAGAACCACTAGACTGAGGAACAGCTTCTACCCTGAGGCTGTTAGACTCATGAATCTCTAACCAGAATAATCACTGTAATGCCACTTTAATAGGTGACTTATCTGTGCTGCTGATGATCCATGCTGCTGATCTCAAGCTGCTGTATTCATTCATACCCACCTACTCACTACGGACTCATGTTCGGGCTGCTGTTTGATATACTGTATTATTTTACATTATTAGTGTTTAGTGTATATCTTAGATCCTTATATACTGTTTCTTTTTATACTTTTTATTTTTGCTATATTTGGGTGTAACTGGGACCCTGTGTACACAATTTTGTTCCACCTCATGTGATGTGAATGACAATAAAGATACTTGAACTTGAATTACCACAACTATTTTTTCTACAATATCTGTAAAATTAGCTGAGGTATAGTGTCTTGGCTGTGGCGGCCATCTTGAGTTGGGGTTCAGGCTTCCTTAAAATCATTTCAGTGGTTCAAGAGATATTTTGCTAACAGATAGAGGTAATGTTTCACAGCAGCTTTTAGTAAATAATCACGAACTTTCAGCTAAATATCTGTGGGGTGAGGCAACTGGTTCCCATGGTAACATGAGGTCAGTGAGGTGAGGAGGAGGGTGTAGCCACACAGCGATATTTCACAGCTGTTTTCACTAACAGACAAAGAATGACGCAACTCCTCGTCCACGCAGCCTTGAAACGAGGCGGCTTGGCTGCAGTCGGGTTCGTGCGCTCCGTTTCCTTTAGCTGCTCGCTTATACCTCCCATCTGCTCAAACTCACCACGAACATAACGACTATCACCTTGATCCCCACCATGTCGGTCTGGGCTCTCGGTCATTAAATTACACTTTTAACAGACGCTTGACAACACCTACAGGTTGATCGTCTCAGAGTGTAAACAGGCAGGATGGCCGTAAAAGTTAAATAATTGACTTCGTACCTCGTAATGTCATAGACGAGAAGTGCACCGGCCGCTCCTCTGTAGTAGCTCCGTGTTACAGAACTAGGAAAAGAATAATTGATTTAAATGTTTTTCACTAAACAAGCTGAGGAAAGTGACAGGAAGGTGACAAAAACTAAACTAACCAGGTACTTCATTGGACCAGGAGAATTTCTCAGAGCTATCCAGATGTCACCAATTTATTTTATTTAGTAAAATATATATACTTACAAAGTGAAAAAAAAAAAAAAACCCTGGCAGGAAATGTCAAGAGCGATTACCGGAATCGTTCCTGCCCTGCAGTGTCCCAGATCTGCAGTTTGACCGTCTTCCCACCGACGTTGACCACCCTGGAGCCGAACTCCACTCCAATGGTGTGGTTGGAGTCCTGCTTAACTGCACACAAAGGAAAAAACTAAACGTTACAGGAACGTTAACTCCAGCAAAGCCTTTGCAATAAAACAATTCTGCTTTAGTTCATGTGGTGTGCGCTGCCATGACACTCCCACTACCTGATTTAAACTGTGCGTTTGTTCAAAAGACACACAAAGAGCATATAACAGCTCCAGTGAGATTAATGGTCTGTACTGGGACCAAACCAGTCCTCGTTAAAGTGCCTGTGACATCAAATTTTTGTAATGAATCTAAATACATTTTTGGAACGATAACATAAGTAAATAAAAGTCACGCTGCTGAGATGAACAGTTGAGATGTTAGCAAGAACAGTAACAGGAAGTGATGTCAAAGGGGCCTGCATGATATTTCCTTGCATTATTTTGAGTCAGAGTTCAAATAAAATTGTTTCAAGCGTTTCAAAAACCAGGGAGTTCCCCTTTAATGTCACTTCCTGTTTCATTTGGGCTGCCAGTGGTGGGACAAAATTAGTAAAATCCCATCTATTATGTCATGTTTCTTAAATATTAAGATGTTTTCTTCCACTTTTTTGTATCTGTAGGATATGTGTCAACGGCACTTCAACACCAGCATGCCTGTGACAAAGTTTCATAACATTATAACTAGGGATGTACGATATTATCGCCATGGTATCGGCCGATATTAGCGTTAAAGTTCAATACCGGACATTCCATCAAATAACTCACCGATATAAAAGACACTGTTTTTGAATGACAACCCAGTGACAAGGACGCCTGCAGCGCTAGTACAACATGATGACGTCACGTGCGCCTACCTGATCTGATCACAGAGGGGAGGAAGAAGTCAAAATGTCGGCAGTGTGGAAGGTTTTTTTTTTTTTGTTGAGGATTGGATTCCAAAGATTTATGGACTACGTTGAGTCTCGCTACATCGTCCCCAGCCAGAGATATTTTTCTGACGTAGCCTTACCAGAGTTACAAGCCGTCATTTCCGACGTCATTGAGAAGCTAATACCTGATAGCACTTGGGTGAGTTTTAGCACAGACATTTGGACGTCGTGTTAGCCCCATTAACATGATTAGTCTTACGACACAATAGATAGACAAAAACTTTGAACTTAAAAAGTCTGTCCTTCATGCACAGGAGTGCAGAGGATCCCACACTGCAGCTAGGAACCTGGAACAAGTCTCCACAGGTGAGACAGCATCGCAGGTAACTAATGCTAATAAATAACATTTAACACTTTTCATTTAATATAAGTTAAAGTGCTATGCATATCATATGGCTGTTACTGAATATATGTCACCAGCTCTTACACAATTTTTGTAGCAAATAAGCCTAAATAAGAGAGAGGGCTATGTTCTGACAAAGGAACGTATATAAAATATCTGTATCAGTTATCGGCCAAATAAGTTTTAAAATATTGGCATATCAGATATCGGCCGAAAATCCAATATCGTGCATCCATAATTATAATTTACAAAAACAGTGAACTTTTAGACTGAAGGGTATTTATGAGTCGTCCTCAAAGCTTACAGTCGCCCTTGCACCTAAACATCTTGATTGTTGGACAGTTCGATTACTGAGCTGTAAAACTCTCACCGAGAGCTAAACAACAACAGCTTTATTAGACATCCTTCCACAGCTTCGGCTAGACACCGACTGCATGAAATTTGTGAAGCTCAGTTCTGTGGGTGAGAAATTAGACATTTGTCATATTCAGGAGCCGTTACTGAAGCGGCACTCCACAATAAGTGTGCCTGCATGTAATTAAGATAACATGAGACGGAGATGTTAATGGTAAATATAGCAATGAGAACATTCGAGGTTAACCAGCGTTGCTTCTCCGCACTCTTGACTCTGGTTCATGATCACGTCACCCAGCTTCTAACTCCTTAAACCAGCTGTGGGCATGGAGAACTGCACCACTGGGACCCGTTTAACTTCATTTTGTTTGAACAAGTCCTTCAAGAAAAGTAAGAGCTGAGCCCAAGAACAGAGGTGTTGTACATAATATTGAACCAACGCAATAATTCCCTGCTCTGACTGGTAGAAACTGGTGTGCACTTCATTGTTATTATGATTTCACTCAGTGATTAACTTCCCTCCCGGGGAACTCGTGTGTCCTTGCAGCAGACTGAGATAAATGGCTTCCAGCGTGTGGCACGAACAGCCGTGCACACGTCTGTGAATGAACACGCTCAAGGCGATGTCAGGACTTACACTTGTTCTCGATGAACTGGTGGAGGAGGCAGGACTTTCCCGCCCCGGCGCTGCCGATCACCAGGAACTTGAAGAGGAAGTCTGAAAGCAGGAGAGAGGAGAGAAACTCGGTGCTCCATCCTCGGATAAACTCCTAATCCTATTAAAGCCACTACTTTCACCCAGCTTAGATTAGCTTACTAATCGGTTAATGCACAAATTGTAACCAGTTGCCAACAACAACCTGAAAACAGGTCGACAAGTCTAATCATTTTGATGTTTCGGTACGTGTCTATGCTAAGATTTTTCATGTAAAGTTTGCAGATTTAAAGACAAGTTCAGTTTCATCCTAACGTTACAGTTTAGGACGTTTTGTAAAACTTGCGTGCGTTTGAATGTTGACTTTAGTTATTGTGGCGCTCCTCTACTCTGCTCAATCCCAGATATTTATTCTTAATTCTGTTTCTCACTCAGATTTTGTGTTCAGCAGCAGGTTCACTCATATACTTCCAACTAGACGTCATCTCGTTTTAATTGTCCGACTCCGCCACATTTGTTCACCTACACAGACTACAGCCAGCCTAAAGTAGGTCAGTCGTGCGATTCAAGCTTCTACGCTGTTTGGACGGATTCATCTGAGTGAGTGCTTACCCTTATTTTAGAATTACATATCAATATGTGACAAACCTCGGGAGCAAACTCTCCCTAACGGCACCATTTCATGTAGCTCAAGGATGGATGTTTATCACTAACTAATGTTAAATGTGTGTGAGTTGTTTTGTCTCCTCAGAGAGGAGCCTGCAGGCGCACCTGATAAACTCCAAGGCCTTTCTGAGTCTAAGCTGGAAAGCCGACTTTGTCTCGACTTCACCTCTGTCTGATAACTGTGTATTAAAGCATTTCCTGCCTCACTGTCGGGCTCAGATTGTCACTGACCAGGCTCAAAGCATGTACTTTTTGCACATCTGTAACAGCTTTGTTGAGACGGTCTATGCTTGCGAGTAAACTGGGTTGATAATCTTCTCCTGTTGTCGTGTGTGAACTCCTTTATTTAAGTAGATGAAGAAAGGATGTTAATTGTATCTAACAGAAACTTTTCTTATACTTTGTTTTGTCCTTTTCAACAAAGTATTGTACCTTTAAGGTAAAAGAACTGATCAAAAGCAGGTGGTTGAACATGGGTTTTTGTTGTAAAAGAGAACCACCCAGCTGACTCATGATCTGGGATGACGTGTAAAGAGCTCCACACAGCCTCAGTGTGTGCCGGTCAATGAATTACAAGAGACAATCTCTTGGTCAGGCTTATTCTGGAAAAACAGAATAGGTAGTTTTTTTTGTTGTTGTTGATTGTCCAAGGCAGTGCAGAATGAGGAATGCTGGGGAGTGGAGGAAACAATTTTATCCACCGTTAGGTGAATGGTGGAGCCAGAGGGTGGCCTGATTAATCTATGGCCACTCCAAGGACCATCCCAATTGTTTGAGGAAACTATTGTTTTAATCAAAATCATAACTAGAAAGCGTAGTTTTCTCAAACGATAGGGGTAGCCAGATTAGCAGAGATAGTGGCCATCTTGCATTTTAACGTGGCAACCCATTTCCAACGGTGAACTTTCTCATGCCCGGATGCAGCCACACCCCAAAATGGAAGTCGGTAACTCTCATATTTTTCTAATGATCATGCTCACAACATTCACAAACAGACGGGAGGTATTTCTAATCCACCCTTTCCGCTCCACGATGGGGAGTTAAAAAAAAAAAAAAAAAGGTATAAAAAAATGAAAATCTTGGCATGTTTCTGACGGTGCAAGCAAATTATGAATGTAATTACATCCTCTTCCCCGAGAGCTGGCTGCAGAAGGAAATTGAAGACAGATAGTTGTGCTTTAAGCTCCAGCCCAGGCTTAGCAGATAAGAAGTGCTGAATGTGAAAATGATTGGGAATGCCTGTTGATATTACGGACTGGGGGTACATCCTGTCAGTATTCAGCTCCTATCTGGCATTTAAACTTATTACGCCGCCACCGGCTGAGTTTATTATGCATCCTTCTCCGAGTTGAGCCGGGCGTTTCCTTCAGCAACACGAGCTCACAGGTCAAATTCACGAGAGCTTATTGGCAGAAGTGAATCAAATCAAAGTTTTCTTCTGCGGCTGCACATCTCAGAACAGACAGGCTGATGTCTCCGTTTTTTAAAGCTTGCCTCAAAGAATCCTTTCCAGACGTTTTCCCTGAGAGCTCTGCAAACAACCACTGGCTGTCGATACATGTACGTGACGCAGCTCTGCACTTTCTGAGGCTGCTGTAATCTCTGCACGCAGCAACGTTGAGGATCTCCCAGAGGAACGAAATAACACCGTTCTCTACAATCACTGAACACAGTCAGGACCAGATCTACCCATGGAGGCCCGTCTGATCTCTTTAAACCTAATGACATGAAAACAAAGAAATCAGTGCCGTTATGTGTTTCTCTTCATGACTTTGCAACTATTTAAATATAGATAGTGCAGGTGCTCATTGCATATTGTAAACTATAATAAAGATTATCCTGGACTGCATCAAATGGTTTCTATTTTATTTTTATTTGACTTTTATTTGACCAAGCTATATGTTTGAGAACAGGTTCTCATTTAAAAGAGGACTTTTACTCCAGTTTTCCCACATATGCAATTCTGAAATGCGGGTCCGCACTGAATGTAAACAAAGCACTCCAGTGAATCTGTCAAAAACCAGATGAACGCTTGAGTTACACGACTGACCTACATTAAGCTGGTTGTAGCATGAAGGTAAACAAGTATGTGACTCATGTTGAAAAAATGAGTCACAATGAGGACTTTGTCCATTATTGAATTATTATTTTCAAATTCTTGGTCTCAAAAACTTCAACATGATTTGTAGTTTGTTGAAATTTGACAATCTGTCACCTGGAAACAAACGAGTTTTCAAACCAGCACACTCGTAAACAAAACTCAATTATTCAGGAGCGATGTCATCTGGAATTTCAGCTGTAAATTCAAGGGGGGAATCCTCTAGTGTCTCAGCATTATACAAAGGGATTTCCAGTCGTTATGGCAGCCAGCAGAGAAAAACGGTCAGTTACAAAGGAAATTAAAACTAAATTACTTGTTATAAATAATTAATTTAAAAGCAGATCAGGAAGATTATACATTACTTCATTTACTGGGATTGATTGTGACTTTATGGACTAATTTTTACGAAAATCTTAATTACGGCAAAAATATGTCGCATTGGCGGTCGAACAAGCATCGAGTCGGGGAGAAGATGCTCGGGCAGAAATATAGGAGTGAATCTGCAGAAAGGAAAAAGAACTAACAAGAAAAACAACCATTAAAAATAATACTGTGGTTCAAGCAGGGCGGTGGAGCGCTGTTTATAAACATGCACAGCGTTAGCAAAACTTCTGCTGGACTGATAAGTTTAGCCTTTTATTCAAACATGTATTTTTATCAAGATACTTTGCTCAACAAATCCGAGTACAAATATGCACAAATAGATTAAAACTGCAGGACTTTGCGACCCCAAACAGCTCCTCCATTGATGCCCCGTCTGTTGACCCGTTTTCAGTCGGTAAACAAACTGAGGCGGTGCATGGCATCCAGTCGCAAGTTTTGCTTCCAACTTTTTAATTTAAGGACACAATAATCATCAACATGAGAGAAATAATGTTTCTTACTTTATGAAGTCGTTTTAAACCTGTCTTTATGTCACTGCAACAAGTACCTTTAATGAAATAAACTAGTATTTGATAACATGTTACCTGCAGGAAACAATGCAGAATGACAGAAAATAGGCTGATGTAGTTGTTGATAAAGGCTTTGGTTTGAATGAGCTTTCAAAAACGATAATAAAATAGATATATATACTATAATGTGGCCAAATTATGTAGTTTTACACAATAAAAAAGACGTGTCAAAAAGACAAATATCAAATAAATATGTACCATCTGCAATCATTTAATGTGTACTTATTATCCACATGATGCTTTAGCTGATCCCACCATGGACCCTCTAGAGGAGACGATGTAGGAGACCGAGACAAAAATCAATACAAGGCTCTTACAGCCACCATTAGCGCTGGCACTATTCCATATATACAGCCCACACGGATAAAGTTTCATATAAAAAAAAAATAGGAGAGAGAATCTAAGAAGAAACAGATGGTGAGAGTCTGAGCGGTGTGGCAGAATCAAAACGTTGGCTCGGTGGCATCGCCACTATTGTGTTGCTGCACGTTCTGTCCCGTCAAAAACGGCAACAAATCACATCAGCGCTCACAAACAGGTCTCATCATAACTCGGAGGGAGAAACGGCAAAAAAGTGGGAAGATTCTTGAATCAAACATCTCAAAGAAATCAAATAACGGCGCGATTCAAACCCTCGCTGGTGGGCAGAGACAATATGCACCATTTGTTCTATACATGATCACTCGCTTCTTCACAAAATTAAACCAAAATGGACCAATCGTGCATTGTGGTTGGATGTGCAAATAGGTGGAAAAAGGGGAGCAGTTTTAGGAGCTTCCCGAGCACAAACCACCCAGATAGACAAAATAAGAGGCTCTCGGGCAGTCTACAGAAAGGGCTGGACTCTGAAAAATGAGGACCATGTCTGTGGCTCGGAAAGCACTCGGAACGCAAGATGTGTTTTTAATCTATTATCACCTATAGGAACCTAATGACTTGTACAACTTCAGCAACTCTCTGGTAAACGACCCGGAGACTCAATCGGATCCTCCCAAATATCCATGTTTGTTAAGAGTGCTGGGCTGGCCTTCCATCCACAAGACTACTGCAAGTTGGCCGAAATTATAAAGCGGCTTCATCACATCCTGCTCCCTTGCCTTAAACCTAAATTTAACATAATCTGATAAATCCAAGTCGTCCAATACTGGGTCAGTTCTGTTTATTAGCAGCTTGTCCATTGTTGACTGCAACAACCAGCGTACTGCACATGCTAGAAAATTAAAGCTGCTGTTTTCAAACAAAACTGTCCCTACAAAACATCTGCATCCATTGTACAGATAAATAAGATTTTCAAAACATGGTTTTGATTTTGGAAACCCAATACGTCTCCATCAAATTGCTCTAACATCAAGAAAACTATGCTACAATACTTTTTACAACCCGTAAAGTAACAATTTTGTAATCTAAAAAACTTTCCATAAAGATCTAAGATTGTTTCTTCTTGAACTTCTTTCGGCGAGTCATCCTCCATCTCACTGTCCTCCGTCCATTTCCATGTCGTCTCGAACTGCTTCCACATATCGCCTCTTCTCTTTTTCCTGTCAACTGCATGTCTAACATCCATCTACCAGCATACTTTTGTTTTCTTGACAGAAATATCTAAAACAAAACTTCTCACATGTGTGACACTGCTCTTAATCGGTCAACCCTGCAACCACAACACCATTGGCTCAAGAGGATAAAAGTTAATATTTCTTTGTCACTGTTATAAAAGTGGGAGTTAAACTGGTTATTTCAGCTGTTTATTTAGTGACCTTGATTTAACCTGGGTGGGAAAATATGTAAAAATGTCGCAGCTGAGGCCCCACAGGTGAACTGGAGCAATAAAAAACCACAAGAATTCAACTTCCTCCTGGGCCTGGTGCTTTAAAACATTAAAATGTACTTCGGACTGAGTGCTTGCTGGGTTACTTCAGGTTGCAAAGGGCGTGAAATTCAACAAGCTCTGGCAACCCAAGCCCCACCTCTATGCATCGACCTGTCGTTTTTGCATCTCTTCTAAAGTTTTGGCCAACTTCCCCCCTGAAATGTCTCACCATCTGTTTGTAACACACGCCGGGTTGAAGGGGGGGTTTAACCCGCTGGTGTCCAGACAAACTGAGCCCCTTAATAATATTCACAGTGCTTTCAAAGTGAGGATATATCGGAGGTAAAAAAGTCAGCTAAATGATAAATATCCCCGGTAAAAAGCCACAGACCTGTTAGGTGGATTAAGCTAACTAGCATCGCTACTACTGTCAGTCTCAGCACGCAGGGCGGTAAATACTGTCACTGTGAAGGTTAACCCCCCCACAAACATACCGTATGTCTCAGACATGTCGGCCAGCGCGGCGTGAAGAACCCTTTCACGGTTCTTTTGGGGGGGACGGGGACTGCGTGCTCGCCGGGTTCACACCTCTCCAGGGTGTTTATCTACGAAGCTAGAGATTTCCTTGATCCGACCACTACGAAACACGGCAGTTGCGTGCCTACGTCATCAGCGTGCTACGTCGTGCTGTGTTCAATGTTAGTGTAATTTTGACAGACGTAGTGCGATCGATACAAATACTGTACGTTGAAAATATACAAAAAAAAAAGTTTTACTTAATATCAAACTATGAGGTTATATTTAATTTTACCTATAACTTGATCTGAAATCCATATTATTATTTCATACCTTGACAGAATGTAAAAAAGACTCATTTTAAAAGGTCGGTATTGTCCTTTCCGATACTCGCTTAACCCGGCAACGAGAAACCTTAAAGGCAGCATTAAATGACGGTCTCTAGTCTCTTGGAAAAATTATTTTCATTAAAGAAAATTAAAATATCCCTAAACTGTGGACATTATTATTATTATTATTGTTATTATTATTATTATTATTATTTGTCAACAGTTACTTGCAAAGTAGAAGAGGAAACATCACCAAGCACAAAAGTGGCCTCGGTTCGAAGTATCGGTGTGCTTTTTATGAGTACAAGTACTTCAGGCTGGTATCTGGCCCAATACTAATAATAAAACATTTATTTATACAGGACAGGTTAATCCCATTGAGCCTCGGGGACTCATTTACAAGAGAGACCTGATTTATTTAACAAAAAGTGATGACAACAGTGGATAACAACAACAACAACAATAGACAATCATAAAAGAGGCATACAAATTTAATTAATTAATTGTACAAATTAAAATATAAAATATATCACTAATTAAAATTCACTTTGAAAGACTCAAAATGAAAACAACCAACAATCCAATGCAGAGAAAATAAATGTATAGGGACGAAAATCAACACTAAAAGTTGGAACACATCAGCTTTTTTATTTATTTTTTAACTTTGTCAGTGAGAGCAACACTGAGCCACAAGGTGGCAGACAAAGGCAACACATCTTGATGAATGCGTTTTCAAGAAATAAACTACTTTGAATGACTAGTTTACATTCTTTTATCTTTTAAAGTGCACATTTATGCAAAAATTTGGACAAGAATAATAAAAAAATAAAAACCTTGATACTTTTTTTTTGTTTTGAACTAATTCCATTTCCTTGGTTCAAAAATACATCAATGAACATGTCAAAATCTGTTTGTGTCATGGATGACGGGGTGTTGGGGCCGGAAGGGGATTCAAGCGCTGACTAACATCGTAATAAATGTCTTTTTTCTTCTTCCTGTGTTCATTCAAGTGCACACACACACACATACGCACTAAAACTCACAAAAAGCCCAGGGCGTGGGGCGGGAGAGCGCTTGGGGCCCACAGGTGATAAATCACAGAGGCTGCCGTCCCTCAGAGTTCCTCCCCGCCTTTTGTTCTTCTCTGAGATCCACTCATCCTCCCTGGCCTTGTTAAAAGCTCTTTTCACAAAGATTAAAGACAGAAGGAAACACGTGGCTCAGCTTCGTGTGGGGGCACGGATGTTTTCCTAAGGCGGGCTGCGAGAAAGGCCTTCCCGCAAAGGTGTGCGGGCTGAAAGAGAACAGTGGGGGGGCTCCTGTTCAAAGGTGCTCTCCTTTGTGAGGATTGATGCTCATTCAGTCTCTGTCTCTTTTGTCCTCCTGTCCACTGCAGGAGTCACCAGCAGAGCAGATCTGTGTTTGAGCTGTGCTGCAAACAAAGCATACGAGGGGAGGCTGACAGTTCAGGTTAACAGAAGAACCTGACAGGGTCACACGCAAAACAAATGGCCCAGATCTCCTTGAAGAAATGCCTATCGCCCGCAGACTTTCATGACGGCCACCACAGCCGCATGTTGAAAGACGGTTAACTGCACCTAAGGGTTGGGGATGACTCTCATCTACTACCACACAAGCGTTTAGCTCAAAATCAGTAAAATTTACTTATAGCTATTTGTGTATTGGCTAATTTTCATGAGCTGTGGCAGCCATCTTGTACAGTGGTGGCCTCAAACTTTAATCAGTTGTAGGTGTACGTCTAATGATTATTTTGTGAAAGTGTCATGCAAATCGGTCCAGTGTGCCAAGAGATATTTTGCTAACAGACAAGGTTGACATCAATGGTTAAAAGTGAAGTTTTAGGCAAAGATCCTGTGCAATGTATGCTTGGGAGGGTGTGCTGGGGGTGACGCTCAGCTACTATCACAACCAACTTTAGCACAACAGCTGCAAAATTTGCTGACTTTTAGCCTGTGGAGGCCATCTTGAATTGTGTAAAGTCCAAAATTTTATTACTTGTATATGTGGCCCAAATGATTATCTGATATTTATATTTTTAATCCATCCAATAGTTCATGAAATATTTAGCTAACAAACAAACAGGGTTGACTCCAGTAGTTAATGTTTTATAACCTCACCTTGCTCAGTCAGTTAGCCCTCGTTGTTCCTGTTAGGGATGACGATCAACTACCATCACAACATCTGTAAAGCTGACCGAGTTGTAGTCATTGTTGTGTTTGCTATGGTTGCATAGCTGCGGAGGCCATCTTGAATAAGATTGACTCCAACGGTTAAATAATTTGTAGAGGTACAGCTGACACACACACACACACACACGCACACACGCACGCACGCACACACGCACACACACACACACACACCAGATCAGGGAAGACCAGGTTTACAGAGAAGGATGTGAGCGACTCAGTTCTTGGAACAGGCGAGCTCTGTTGTTAATGCACATTAAAACGGTGTTTGTCACCTCGTGAGTCACTCCTGCACATTCAACACACGCAAACCTGGTGACGACCTGCTGCTTTACACACACGAACAAAGCCATGAAATCAGGGATGTTTAAACGCATTAATGAGCCGAAACACCTGCAGGAATTTACTGACAGCATTTACTGTAACCACAGAGCTTGAAAAAGCCCACACCAGAACCAACATTCTCACACAGACATGTTTGTGGATTGAAGCGAAGCAGCACAGTTCTGATACTGAAGAGGGGTATTTATATACGTGTTACTCTGCACGCTAGTACCTGTGACACTTTTTTTCTGTCTGTAAGGCTGATACATTGTCCAGTTTTAAGACTGGGCTTAAGATTTTCCTTTTTGATGAATCCTATAATTATGTTTGGCTTGTTATGCTGCTATATAAACTTAGACTACTAGAGGACAAATTGACCTCATTTCCTTAAATGAATTGTTACAATTGAATAGTTTTCATTTGATATTATTTCTATCTTAACATGTGATTCTTGACCTGCCATTGTGTATCTGTTCTTCTCAAACCCAGCACTCAGGTTTGGAAATTAGCAACAAAAGAGCTGATTGGAGCCACTGAGAGAGTGATTTATGTGACTGAAAATTAAGGTCCAAAGTGGAAAAGAAAGTCCAGGTGACCCCTTTAAAGGCAGTTTATCGTCTCACAGACATCTTCCACTAAATCACAAACTGATGTCCTCCCCTCCACACCACTAACTCTGCCTTTCCATGTTTCACTCTGTCAAACCACAGCCTGGAGGAGGACTAAGGTTGATTGTGGTCAAGTGTTTGGAGGAGGAAAAAGGGGTTTGTGTTTTCTGTTTTGGAGCTGCAGCAAAACAACTTTTGCACTGTGGAAGCAAACTAAAATATGAGCTTTGTCCCATTTGGTGGAGGGTGAGTGTAAACAGGACCCAACTGCAGGGACGAAAGATGCAGGTGGATGAAGAACGAACCTCGAAACTTAATGAAACTAGCAAGGAATGCATATCACCCAACGACCGTTAACATGAGCCAGGACCACGAGCCGCCGGAAACAAGCAGGAGGACGTGACAAGCAGCAGAGGAAACCCGGGGAGTGAACGGGAGTGGTGATTACTGATTGACAACAGGTGTGTTGATCACTGATGAATTTCAAGTGGTATGAAATGAAAAATGCAAAGTCGTTTCAGTTTTAGGGTCCTCCTTTGTTTAAAGTGAACAAAACAAAGCCGTCATTTAAAACAGGAAATACACTTCAAATTACAACTTTCTCACAAAATGCAATTTTTAAACATATTTAAGTGATATATGTCCAGGATGTGCCCTCTGTCTCATACAATGACTACTGGAACATGGGCATCAGAAATCCCCGTGACCCAGAAAGGAATAAAAGAAAATGGATGGATGTCAAAAGTTTGAGGAAATATCCGTTAACGTTCCGTTTAAATGCCCCGTAGGTCTTTTTTTTTTCCCCTTTTAGGGTCCAAACAGTTCTGTTCTTGAAAACAAGTGTGTTGAGCTGTGTTGGCAAAATACATCAGAAAGAACGCAGGCTGCAAATATTGAATCATTAATTTAGCCATAATTGAAATTTGTATAAAAATAAAATTTTTTTAAAAGGCACCATATAGTGATCCAAGTAACAAAATAGCAAAGATTCTCCCTAATAAACCTTAAACTTTCTAAAGGTTCTTAACTTTATAATACCTGTTCCTGGAGGGAAAAATTTAACGTTTTCCCACTTTAATCTTTTAAAGCTGTCTGGACCTAAAATAAAAATGCCAAACTTTTAAATGATATTAAAATATTAGCTATCCAAGTGTCTTGAATTTAACAACTACAGTTTTCAGTTTTTTTTGGTTCTTGACTATTGACGCACTGAACAGTATCCACTCCAATATTCCCACACCTCACCCACCCCCAACCACATTTAGTAGCCGACAAGGAAGTCCTGTTTTTGGTCAAGCCTGCACCAGTCGGCCAGGCATATGAATGATTCTCTTCTTGTATGTGTGTGGATCTACTGTTTGTACCAAATGTTTACTCGTGCACAACACAAGTGTGTTTTTGCTCTTTACATCCAAACTAAAACAGTTTGGTTGGATGAGATGAAAGTCCAGGCAGCAGCAAAGAAGATTTTTTTTTAGGGCAAAATAGCAGATATTCATGCAGATGACCATGACTGCAGTGCATTGTATATAAAAAAATCAAGCAAAAACTCAAATCAAGTCATATTTGTTCTGAAAAAATTTCTGTGCTATTAAAATTATGAGATGACATAAGTGTCCCTCAAATGTAAAAGCTACACACCACTT